GCCCCTCTCCTTCTTAGGACTTCAAGGCATCATCTTCACCACTGAAATCCCTCAAGATTTCAGTGGTGAAGAGACCCCAACACCAAAATCCCGGAGCTAGCACAAAATGGTCCAAAAATGAGGCTTTTCAAGGCCTAAAGGTGATCAACAACCCTCAAACCGAGAAACACTCTTAATAAACAATAAAGAGGGCCTAAAAACAGAACTTTTTTATGTTATACAATAAGCACAAAAAACAGCTCTAAGAAGGTATAAAATCAATGCAAAAATGGGAGAAAATGGGACTAGATTCTCACCCTTGAAGCCTTCTTCACAAATGATGCTCCAATGGCCTCCTTTGGCTCCAAACCAGCACCAAAACTTCAAAACAAATCCTTTAGAACCTCAGCTCCAAGAGGAAGGTGAAACACTAGGTGTTGTGTGCAATAGTAAGACACAAAACACCTAGTGAACAAAAGAGAGGAGAGAGAATAGAAAATGTATCTAACTCAAAACCCTAGAACTAGAGCTCAACAATGGCTTGTTTTGCTCCTCCAAATATCCTAAGTCTCCCCTCCTTCTTGCCCCAAGAGAGAGCCTCTCTCTATATGTCTTGTAAAGCTTACAAGACAAGCTTTACAAGAGGGAGATCCCTCCATACACGTGTATGGAGGGATGCAAAAGTAAGACAGCTGTCCAAAAATATCTGCAAAAGCAGATGAACAGCAATCGGCCGGCCAAAAATGCCATCTTGGCCAAAAGGAGTGCCGGCCGGCACAAAATAATGCTGACCGGCAACAAATAGTGCCGGCCGGCAATAAAATTGCGGTGGCAGCAAACACCAGCCGGTGGCCTCTAGCCACTGCCGGTGATGGGTGGGGATGGTCTACAAGCCCTACCCTGCCTCTCAAAGGCAAAACAAAAGTGTTTGGTGCAAAACCAGACACTAAACGGTCGAGTTCGGGGATCCTGAAGCAAGGCGCGCGAGCCGAGACTTCTGGGAACTCCAAACGAACACAAACATGGATAATCACCGAGTATTCAAACGTGACGTCCAAGTCTTGAGGACGGTCAAAAATGGGGTGTCTACAATAACTTGACTTTCCTAACACACTTGTTAATAACTTGTTTTTTATGCAGAAAAAAAAATGGCTTCATCTTCTATTGATAATACGAACTTAAGATTAAAGCCAAGGTTTTGTAATTGTGGAAGAATAGCTTCCGTGCGTATTGTACGAACCAATGCGAATGAAATAAAGGACGTTCTATTTTGTTTGCCCAAGAAAATATGTAAGTACCTGTTATATAAATGAATCTATTACTTTTTACAAATTTCATTTGTCCTTTATTGATTAATTGATTCTTGTCCATTGTAGGATTCAAACGACCACTGCAATTACTTCAGGTGGTTCGCAGATGATGACGACGACGACATTACCTCATCAATCCGTGCCAATGCTGACGACGACGACATTACTTGAAGGCTTGGTGAGCATGATAGAAGGCTTCAAAGGATTGAGAACATCTTGAAGGCAGTGACTTATGTCATTGTATTTTGTGTATTTTTGTACCTTTTCATGTAAATGACTCAGTTCTTAGGTTTTCGAACATCCTATGAATGTAATCTACTTTTCTACTTGTTTTGTAATTTTTTTTTTGGTGCTTCAAATTCTGAAGGTTGCAAAAACAAGTGTGTAACAGGTTTATTTGAGATGAAATGTTGAATGAACAGTTTGTCAAATCTATGAATTATGTTGGTTGCTTAACAATGTGTATTATATGTGATGGTTTGGAAATGTTGAATGTTATATAACAGGTTTCTAAAATGTTGAATAATGTTGATGTTGAACTGTTGAAAATGTTGAATGTTGTATAACAGGTTTCTGAAATCTATTGAAAATGTTGAAATGTTGAAATGTTGAATGTTGTATAACAGGTTGCTGTATTATATGAAATGTTCAATGTTGTATAACATGTTTCTAAAATCTGCAACAGTTTAAAAATCTGCAACAATGAAATGTTCAATGTTATATGAAATGTTCAATGTTATATACAAGTTTCCCAAAGCAGAATTTTAAAATCTGCAACAGTTTAAAAATCTGCAGCATTATAAAAGCTTATTCTAAGTCTTGCCTAGCATCATCCACACAGAATTTAAATCTGCAAACAGAATTGAAGCAAAAATTCTGTCAAGTATTTAAGCAAAAATTTGTATTGCCTTGTATCATCCAGACAGAATTTAAGCAAGAATTTAAGCATTATAAAAGCAGAATTTAATCCATCAAAGCTGCAAACAGAGATGCTGCAACTCTAACTCTATTCAGCAAAAAAATCTGCAACAGTTTAACTAAATTTCAGCAACATTTCATCAACTCTATTTCAGCAACATTTGAGCATTATTCAAGCAAAAATTTGCAACAGTTTAACTCTATTTCAGCAACATTTCAACTCTATTTCAGCAATTTTTTAGCAACAAATTCAGCAACATTTTAACTCCATTACAGCAACATTTCAGCAACAATTTCAGCAACATTTCATCAACTCTATTTCACCAACATTTGAGCATTATTCAAGCAAAAAATCTGCAACAGTTTAACTCTATTTCAGCAATATTTCAACTCTATTTCAGCAATTTTTCAGCAACAAATTCAGGAACATTTTAACTCCATTATAGCAACATTTCAGCAACAGTTTCATGAAGGGTTTCAATATTACATATCCAACAAAAAATTCACAAAAATTCCCAAAACAAAATAACGCTAAGATGTTGACGTGTGATCCATATGCCCACGCCCACGCCCACGACCACGAGCATATAGTACCTACAAAAAAAATAAAATAATATTACATCAAAGGAACCATAAAATAAATTGTAACTTTACTGATGAATGACAAAATAAAAGAGGAAAGGTGAAAAAATAAATTACTTCACTACATGCGGGACTATTTGAGGCTTGCGAGTGATAACTACTTGCATTGTTAAGTAATGCTTGATAGGTTCCATGGACGGAATACATTGATGGCATGGAAAAATGCATATTGTGATGAGGAAAACTTGGCTGCAACAATAACAAACACATATTAATTTCAAATGATAATAGTCACCTACAAATCTCTACTAAAACTTCTTATTAAACTAACTTACATCATAGGCGGGATACATAAATTGAGACGAAGAAGCTCTAACTTCAGGAACACTCGGCGAGAATGGAGGAAGTTGAGGAGCACTTGAAAATAAAGGAGCCGACTGATGAAATAAGGGAGGGGCTTCAGGAGCACTTGCCGAAAATAAGGGAGGAGTTTGAGGAGTAACAGACATGGAAGTTTGAGAAGCATTATATGAACTTGTTTTATTTTTCTTTGCCAACGCAAGCTCCAAACCACCTTTTATCCGCCTTCGTCCCTTGCTAGTGCGCTCTCTTCTCTTGAGTCCTTTTGCTTGAACTACATTTTTATCCGCTACACCATCCACTTCAAAGCTTTCGGGGGGGCTTTCTTCTTGAATAGTATCTGAACAAGGCATATTGAATTTTGCGCTTAACATGGTTTCAATGTCTGCAATTAATTCATCCGCTTTCTCGACCGTCAAATTATATGTTTCCTCACTTTCAGAAGCTCTACACGCTACTGATCTGAATATTGCCATCAATGACCTATAACGTGAAGTTTGATGCAATCTTACATCAACTTGAATATCATGTCCACACCTATCTTTCACATTTTCAGATCTTCTTTTTTTAGTCCATCTCTTCAGAATATACATCAAAGCTGCACCAAATATCACAGTTTCCCTATGATGGTTAAATCCAACAAAAGACGCAAATGGTCTATGTGCACTATTTAACTTGTAAGTAGTGTCGAAAGTCACAACATCACCAAATTGCCATAATCCATGATCATCTGAGCATCGGCCCAAAATATGTTTGTAATCTGCTCCTCGTTATCTAATTGGACCGAGTAAAAAAAAAGATGGATTCTCCAATGATTTGTCACGAAAATATTGCAAAATGCTACTTGCCTCCCCATATGCTAAACTGTTTTGCCTCTTCATTCTCAAATAATTTTTTTGGTCCAGTTTTGTGAACCCAAGTGACTCCCTTCCACCAACTTCATTACCCATGAGCTCAAATGCAGCATTAAGACGGATTCCAGATTTTTCAGCTAAATCTATTTCGGTTGCCTGTGATGCAGATATCTTCCTTTGGGATGGTAACATATGCGTACATTCTGTTGGTACAAAGATATGATTATGTTGTTCAACAAAATCACTAACAAAAAATTTCTGCATATTCCTATCCCACTTAATAACAAGTCGGGCTTGACAACCAGTCCTCACTTCCTGCCTAGGATTTTTTGTTAATGGATCTCGCTTGTCGACAACCCGAAATCCCTCCTTATTACAAACAAATTGCCTTGAAGTGATTTGCCCTCTTTGCTCTTGTTTACATAACCCCTTCTAATACTGAAGCCCAACCTTCCTCCATAACTATTAATAGAATCATATACTTTTTGTTCTGTATCAAATGTCAGCGAACTCTAGGCTTCCAATCACACTCACCCCCGTCATTGTCATGATTGTTAGGTTTCATATCAATGTGCCAAGTCACTTAAAAAATAAAGAAGTGCTCAATATTAGCATAAAAACTGTACATTATGTTTGCAAAATAATACAAACTGAATAAGATAATCAACAAATTATAAACTAAATAATACAAACTAAATATTGGTCTTTGTTATGTACCACAGTGTGGTTTTAAGATGTTCACTACAGCAGGTATTCAGAAGAAAAAAATATAAATGAGTCCTTTGAAGCATTCATGCACTATATGTTGCTTATATATACATGACCATCCAGCATTTGCATTCTTAGGTAATATGTTGTCAATTTTAATTTGTGACCTTGTGTTCTTATGACTGTACAATAATACAAAGCCCTGGGTTACTTGCTTTGCAGCATTGATCAATCTAATTTTGTGTTTTGCATGATTGAGGAATTAATATCAAATCCCTAAGGATTGCTAAAATTTAATTCATGAATGCCGTTTTAGTAAGCCAAGTTTTTTAAGGATATCAAGCAACAAGGGGGCTTTGATTGGATTGTGGAAATTTAATTAGTTGCATGAGAATACTATAAGAAGCTGGATTTGGAATTTTTTTAATCTCGACTGTTCTAAATCTATTATATATATATATATATATCTAAACTATTGTTCTAAATAATCAACACAGATATTGCAAGTTTTCATGGTATTGATGGTTATCGTTTTGAGAAAACAATCAAACTAAACTATTTTTCAGCTAAAGAAGCAATTATACTGAAACACCAATTCTGCTTATGTGCTCAACAAGAAATCTATGAACAATTGCTTCGTCTGTCAACAAGTAAGAATCCAGATTCAAGTATAGAATCAGGTCCTGTTTTGGTCCACCTAACCCAGAACTCAACATTGGCATATATCTTGATAGTTCAAACCCCCTACCACTTGAGGCTCCATTTCGATACATGGATTTGAAATGAATGGATTTAATGGATTCAATACAGGGATTGAACAATATTCAGCACAACACAGATATTGCAAAAAAAATTATGTTCTCAACCATAGGCATCATCTGGGATTGATTTCGAAGAGACCAAAAAAAACAAAATCGAACTTAAAACATATATTTAAACATTCTAAATACCTATATTTTCTTCAATCGGTGGAACAGGGGCGACGGCCACGGCGCGGCGGCAGACAGTGGCAACGGCACGACGGCGGCGACAGCGGGGCGACTGCCACGATGGGGCGACGGGATGCACGAAGAACAACCTCTCTACTCTTCTTCGATCTCTCGTTCTTTCGTCGTTTTGCTTCTTTCCGCCATCTGTATTCGCGTTCTTCAGCGCTGGGGAGAATTTTTGAAATCGAAAATATTTTTTTTTTTTGGAAAATCCTCACCAAAACGACGTCGTTTTGGTGAGGCTTAAGCACAGCCGTCCAATCATCCACTTCAGGAGATCACTCTAGAGAATAACTCTAGAGGATTCGGACGCGGCTCATTGGCCTGGCACTGGTCTTTGATGATCTATTAATAAATTCAATTTTTTACGTCCTTATATCTAGATTAACCACCGGGGTGGTTGTCTAAGGGAAAAGGCTTCTCTTTTTATAGGTGCAACTCAGGGTTGAATTTTAAGGGGTAAAATTCATTTCTTCATAATTGGCTCCCTACGAAGATTTTGCCGTATATTTTGATCGAAACCTAAACTCATTTGTGGCATGTGATTGAGTTCCATTAGTGTCTCAGTGGTAGGTCACTTCCTACAGATTTAGTCAAATCAGGCCGGCAACCAGTTATTCTCAGGGCCTGATACAACAGATGCCGTGATGACACCTTAGAGTATCATTTTTTTTCTGTTCAAAAAATATTATATATATATATATAATGTGTGTGTAGATTAATTGTATAAAAAATATAAATTAATCTAATAATTTATAATAATTTATAATTTTATCATTTATTGCCTTTGAGCTAATGAACAACCAATATAATTTTAAAAATGGATTAATTCAATTCATTTTTGGCTTCATGGAATTATTAAACCTTGATATTCTATTGGTAGGAATAAAATTTACATACGTACGAATATGATACATAATACATGGATTCATTAACAAATAAACTGTTGTACACAGCTATTTTTGTGGTTAATTTTCAAAAATGGCAAGTTATATTGATAGTTTTTATATTTTATCTCTTGTATCATTTTGATTCTTATAATTTTAATTTATTCAATTTTGTCCCTTAATTCAATTCAAAATGCCGTTAGAGTTTTTGATAGAAAACAATCACCGAATTAGTTGATGTTAACTTAGTAAATTGAGTAAATTTAAAATTTTACTCGTAAAAGCATACCACTCATGAGGGCACCATTTTTTATAAGAATTTTTTTTATTACAACTGTAATTAATTTGGTCAAATTGGGACAAAATTATAAATTCATAATCAAAATTGAACCAATTAAACCACAAAGTCCAAAATGATACAATATATATATATATATATATATATATATGGACTACTAATATAATTTGCATCACTGTATAAAAAATATATATATACTATATATAAATGAACAAACCCACTTGGTGATTGTCCTGAAACTCCTCTCCTTTTGTAAAGTGCCCATTCCTCATTTTTTTTTAAAAAAAAAAAAAATTAGAAGAAAGAGGAGCATAAGACTCGAACATCAAATCTTTTGTTTTATAATATATATATTATATATATATCACTTAAATGACACAATATATTAATAAATATTTATTTTATTTTTATATATTTAAATTGTATACAGCAGGTATTGTTCCACACCATGACCGAATCCATCTCCCAATACCCGTTATTTATAACTTTTTCAATGATAAAAATTGAATTTTTAAATTGCTTTTTCTTACTATTTTACAGCTCAAAATAATAGCAATCTTTGATTTGAATTGAATAAAAAAGGAAGTCTACTTTCAATATGACAGCTAACAAAGATCCTCTTTTTTATACTTTGGTAACTTTCCTTGCCTTACAAGTAACATGCAAGTCTTCCACAAAAGATTTTTTTTATCAATTCCCATATTACTCCTATATAAAGGAAAGGAAACAATTTTTAGTTACATATCTTCTATTATTCTTAAATCTTAAAAGACGTAGTGTGTGAAAACCGCTAACAATACTTACCTATAAATTTTAGGTTAAAAGTTAGGGTTTTATTGAGATGGATAACCTGTCGACAACAACGGAATCGTCGATTAGGGTTTCGTGGAGTCCCGAAGAAGATGAGTTGTTACAGAAGCTCGTGCATCGTCATGGAGCCCGGAACTGGTCTATAATAAGTAGATCAGTCCCGGGAAGATCGGCCAAGTCGTGTCGCCTCCGGTGGTGCAATCAGCTGTCACCGGAGGGTGGAACACCGACCATTCACGGATGAGGAAGACAAAATCTCGTACGATCGCACCAAAAGTACGGAACAAGTGGGCTACGATTGCCAGAACTACTTAACAGCCGTACTGATAATGCTATCAAGAATCATTGGAATTCGACTCTCAAGAAGAAAGTGTTATGATTATCGAGGACGAAGCAGTGAAGAATCGGTGGTTGAAAGGCGAAAACGGTTAATGCGACGATGAATATTCGATTTAGCGATGAACGTAGATGAGATCGGATGTAGATCCGAAGATTGTACCGAGTACAGAACTCAGTCTTTCTCAACCTGGGATTTGTTCGAATGAGTTAAGGATTACTCACCAGGAATCGGACAAGTACCACCAGAATCGGACGAGTTTCATGAAATAACCGAGTTTGACTCGTTCCAATTGTTGTTGAAAGAGATGGTGAGGAGAGAAAGTGAAAGAGGAAGTGAGAAATTATATAGTTACAACTAGAAAAAAAATAGGAATGTTTTGCAGAGTAAGTAAAGAGTTATGATATCTTGTTTGGTTCATTAGAAAGAGAGTATTTTGAGGTCAATTATATATATATCTAGTTCTTCTGAGTCAGAGTCCGGTATTCCTGGGGTTGATAACCCGGATGCCATAGTTTTGTCCATGTCGTCTTTTTCTTTTTCTTTTGAGTTGGTTGTAACCGAGGAATTGGATGAGCTGGATCTTTTGAACGAGAATACCACTGTAGTTTCTGAGTACTTCTTTTTGCTACTAGTATAATGCATTGATCATGACTTTCAATATTTTGATAAAAATGACGAGGAAGGAATTCCTCTAGTTTTGAAACATCTGGTTGATCAAAAGGAGGAGTGGTTTGTAAAACCCCTTGTTGATGAAATCATTCTAATTAATGTAGGTACTAAGAAGGATCCGCTTCTGGTCCAGATCGGGTCCACGTTGTCTTTGGAGGAATGTGAGTGCTTAGTTGCTTTATTAAAAGATTTCAAAGATGTTTTCACGTGGTCCTACGAAGATATGCCTGGAACCGATCCTGAGATTGTATAGCATCGAATCCCTCTTGACCCCAAGGCTTGACCCATTAAGTAGAAGCTTCGGAGAATTCGCTCGGACTGGGCTTTGAAGATTATGGAAGAGGTCACTAAACAGATAGACGCAGGTTTTTTGCTAGTATCTGAGTACCCGACTTGGTCGGCCAAAGCTTCTCTCTATATGCCTCTTGTAAAGCTTACAAGACAAGCTTTGCAAGAGGGAGATCCCTCCATACACGTGTATGGAGGGATGCAAAAGTAAGACAGCTGTCCAAAAATATCTGCAAAAGCAGATGAACAGCAATCGGCCGGCCAAAAATGCCATCTTGGCCAAAAGGAGTGCCGGCCGGCACAAAATAATGCTGACCGGCAACAAATAGTGCCGGCCGGCAATAAACATTGCCGGTGGCAGCAAACACCAGCCGGTGGCCTCTAGCCACTGCCGGTGATGGGTGGGGATGGTCTACAAGCCCTACCCTGTCTCTCAAAGGCAAAACAAAAGTGTTTGGTGCAAAACCAGACACTAAACGGTCGAGTTCGGGGATCCTGAAGCAAGGCGCGCGAGCCGAGACTTCTGGGAACTCCAAACGAACACAAACATGGATAATCACCGAGTATTCAAACGGTGACGTCCAAGTCTTGAGGACGGTCAAAAATGGGGTGTCTACAATAACTTGACTTTCCTAACACACTTGTTAATAACTTGTTTTTTATGCAGGAAAAAAAAAATGGCTTCATCTTCTATTGATAATACGAACTTAAGATTAAAGCAAAGGTTTTGTAATTGTGGAAGAATAGCTTCCATGCGTATTGTACGAACCAATGCGAATGGAAATAAAGGACGTGTCTATTTTGTTTGCCCAAGAAAATATGTAAGTACCTGTTATATAAATGAATCTGTTACTTTTTACAAATTTCATTTGTCCTTCATTGATTAATTGATTCTTGTCCATTGTAGGATTCGAACGACCACTGCAATTACTTCAGGTGGTTCGCAGATGATGACGACGACGACATTACCTCATCAATCCGTGCCAATGCTGACGACGACGACATTACTTGAAGGCTTGGTGAGCATGATAGAAGGCTTCAAAGGATTGAGAACATCTTGAAGGCAGTGACTTATGTCATTGTATTTTGTGTATTTTTGTACCTTTTCATGTAAATGACTCAGTTCTTAGGTTTTCGAACATCCTATGAATGTAATCTACTTTTCTACTTGTTTTGTAATTTTTTTTTTGTGCTTCAAATTCTGAAGGTTCGCAAAAACAAGTGTGTAACAAGTTTATTTGAGATGAAATGTTGAATGAACAGTTTGTCAAATCTATTGAATTATGTTGGTTGCTTAACAATGTGTATTATATGTGATGGTTTGGAAATGTTGAATGTTATATAACAGGTTTCTAAAATGTTGAATAATGTTGAATGTTGAACTGTTGAAAATGTTGAATGTTGTATAACAGGTTTCTGAAATCTATTGAAAATGTTAAAATGTTGAAATGTTGAATGTTGTATAACAGGTTGCTGTATTATATGAAATGTTCAATGTTGTATAACATGTTTCTAAAATCTGCAACAGTTTAAAAATCTGCAACAATGAAATGTTCAATGTTATATGAAATGTTCAATGTTATATAACAAGTTTCCCAAAGCAGAATTTTAAAATCTGCAACAGTTTAAAAATCTGCAGCATTATAAAAGCTTATTCTAAGTCTTGCCTAGCATCATCCACACAGAATTTAAATCTGCAAACAGAATTGAAGCAAAAATTCTGTCAAGTATTTAAGCAAAAATTTGTATTGCCTTGTATCATCCAGACAGAATTTAAGCAAGAATTTAAGCATTATAAAAGCAGAATTTTAATCCATCAAAGCTGCAAACAGAGATGCTGCAACTCTAACTCTATTTCAGCAAAAAAATCTGCAACAGTTTAACTAAATTTCAGCAACATTTCATCAACTCTATTTCAGCAACATTTGAGCATTATTCAAGCAAAAATTTGCAACAGTTTAACTCTATTTCAGCAACATTTCAACTCTATTTCAGCAATTTTTTAGCAACAAATTCAGCAACATTTTAACTCCATTACAGCAACATTTCAGCAACAATTTCAGCAACATTTCATCAACTCTATTTCACCAACATTTGAGCATTATTCAAGCAAAAAATCTGCAACAGTTTAACTCTATTTCAGCAATATTTCAACTCTATTTCAGCAATTTTTCAGCAACAAATTCAGGAACATTTTAACTCCATTATAGCAACATTTCAGCAACAGTTTCATGAAAGGTTTTCAATATTACATATCCAACAAAAAATTCACAAAAATTCCCAAAACAAAATAACGCTAAGATGTTGACGTGTGATCCATATGCCCACGCCCACGCCCACGACCACGAGCATATAGTACCTACAAAAAAAATAAAATAATATTACATCAAAGGAACCATAAAATAAATTGTAACTTTACATGAATGAATGACAAAATAAAAGAGGAAAGGTGAAAAATAAATTACTTCACTACATGCGGGACTATTTGAGGCTTGCGAGTGATAACTACTTGCATTGTTAAGTAATGCTTGATAGGTTCCATGGACGGAATACATTGATGGCATGGAAAAATGCATATTGTGATGAGGAAAACTTGGCTGCAACAATAACAAACACATATCAATTTCAAATGATAATAGTCACCTACAAATCTGTACTAAAACTTCTTATTAAACTAACTTACATCATAGGCGGGATACATAAATTGAGACGAAGAAGCTCTAACTTCAGGAACACTCGGCGAGAATGGAGGAAGTTGAGGAGCACTTGAAAATAAAGGAGCCGACTGATGAAATAAGGGAGGGGCTTCAGGAGCACTTGCCGAAAATAAGGGAGGAGTTTGAGGAGTAACAGACATGGAAGTTTGAGAAGCATTATATGAACTTGTTTTATTTTTCTTTGCCAACGCAAGCTCCAAACCACCTTTTATCCGCCTTCGTCCCTTGCTAGTGCGCTCTCTTCTCTTGAGTCCTTTTGCTTGAACTACATTTTTATCCGCTACACCATCCACTTCAAAGCTTTCGGGGGGGCTTTCTTCTTGAATAGTATCTGAACAAGGCATATTGAATTTTGCGCTTAACATGGTTTCAATGTCTGCAATTAATTCATCCGCTTTCTCAACCGTCAAATTATATGTTTCCTCACTTTCAGAAGCTCTACACGCTACTGATCTGAATATTGCCATCAATGACCTATAACGTGAAGTTTGATGCAATCTTACATCAACCTGAATATCATGCCCACACCTATCTTTCACATTTTCAGATCTTGAAAGAATCGGCGGTCTCATCATACATCAAAGCTGCACCAAATATCACAGTTTCCCTATGATGGTTAAATCCAACGAAAGACGCAAATGGTCTATGTGCACTATTTAACTTGTAAGTAGTGTCGAAAGTGACAACATCACCAAATTGCCCATAATCCATGATCATCTGAGCATCGGCCCAAAATATGTTTGTAATCTGCTCCTCGTTATCTAATTGGACCGAGTAAAAAAAAGATGGATTCTCTAATGATTTGTCACGAAAATATTGCAAAATGCTACCTGCCTCCCCATATGCTAAACTGTTTTGCCTCTTCGTTCTCAAATAATTTTTTTGGTCTAGTTTTGTGAACCCAAGTGACTCCCTTCCACCAACTTCATTACCCATGAGCTCAAATGCAGCATTAAGACGGATTCCAGATTTTTCAGCTAAATCTATTTCGGTTGCCTGTGATGCAGATATCTTCCTTTGGGATGGTAACATATGCGTACATTCTGTTGGTACAAAGATATGATTATGTTGTTCAACAAAATCACTAACAAAAAATTTCTGTATGTTCCTATCCCACTTAATAACAAGTCGGGCTTGACAACCAGTCCTCACTTCCTGCCTAGGATTTTTTGTTAATGGATCTCGCTTGTCGACAACCCGAAATCCCTCCTTATTACAAACAAATTGCCTTGAAGTGATTTGCCCCTCTTTGCTCTTGTTTACATAACCCCTTCTAATACTGAAGCCCAACCTTCCTCCATAACTATTATAGAAATCATATACTTTTTGTTCTGTATCAAATGTCATGCGAACTCTAGGCTTCCAATCACACTCACCCCCGTCATTGTCATGATTGTTAGGTTTCATATCAATGTGCCAAGTCACTTAAAAAATAAAGAAGTGCTCAATATTAGCATAAAAACTGTACATTATGTTTGCAAAATAATACAAACTGAATAAGATAATCAACAAATAATAAACTAAATAATACAAACTAAATTATGGTCTTTGTTATGTACCACAGTGTGGTTTTAAGATGTTCACTACAGCAGGTATTCAGAAGAAAAAAATATAAATGAGTCCTTTGAAGCATTCATGCACTATATGTTGCTTAATATACATGACCATCCAGCATTTGCATTCTTAGGTAATATGTTGTCAATTTTAATTTGTGACCTTGTGTTCTTATGACTGTACAATAATACAAAGCCCTGGGTTACTTGCTTTGCAGCATTGATCAGTCTAATTTTGTGTTTTGCATGATTGAGGAATTAATATCAAATCCCTAAGGATTGCTAAAATTTAATTCATGAATGCCGTTTTAGTAAGCCAAGTTTTAAAGGATATCAAGCAACAAGGGGGCTTTGATTGGATTGTGGAAATTTAATTAGTTGCATGAGAATACTATAAGAAGCTGGATTTGGAATTTTTTAATCTCGACTGTTCTAAATCTATATATATATATATATATCTAAACTATTGTTCTAAATAATCAACACAGATATTGCAAGTTTTCATGGTATTGATGGTTATCGTTTTGAGAAAACAATCAAACTAAACTATTTTTCAGCTAAAGAAGCAATTATACTGAAACACCAATTCTGCTTATGTGCTCAACAAGAAATCTATGAACAATTGTTTCGTCTGTCAACAAGTAAGAATCCAGATTCAAGTATAGAATCAGGTCCTGTTTTGGTCCACCTAACCCAGAACTCAACATTGGCATATATCTTGATAGTTCAAACCCCCTACCACTTGAGGCTCCATTTCGATACATGGATTTGAAATGAATGGATTTAATGGATTCAATACAGGGATTGAACAATATTCAGCACAACACAGATATTGCAAAAAAAAATTATGTTCTCAACCATAGGGCTATCATCTGGGATTGATTTCGAGGAGACCAAAAAAAACAAAATCGAACTTAAAACATATATTTAAACATTCTAAATACCTATATTTTCTTCAATCGGTTGGAACAGGGGCGACGGCCACGGCGGCGGCAGGACAGTGGCAACGGCACGACGGCGGCGACAGCGGGGCGACTGCCACGATGGGGCGACGGGATGCACGAAGTAACAACCTCTCTACTCTTCTTCGATCTCTCGTTCTTTCGTCGTTTTGCTTCTTTCCGCCATCTGTATTCGCGTTCTTCAGCCTGGGGAGAATTTTGAAATCGAAAATATTTTTTTTTTTTTGGAAAATCCTCACCAAAACGACGTCGTTTTGGTGAGGCTTAAGCACAGCCGTCCAATCATCCACTTCAAGAGATCACTCTAGAGAATAACTCTAGAGGATCCGGACGCGGCTCATTGGGCCTGGCACTGGTCTTTGATGATCTATTAATAAATTCAATTTTTTACGTCCTTATATCTAGATTAACCACCGGGGTGGTTGTCTAAGGGAAAAAGGCTTCTCTTTTTATAGGTGCAACTCAGGGTTGAATTTTAAGGGGTAAATTCATTTCTTCATAATTGGCTCCCTACGAAGATTTTGCCGTATATTTTGATCGAAACCTAAACTCATTTGTGGCATGTGATTGAGTTCCATTAGTGTCTCAGTGGTAGGTCACTTCCTACAGATTTAGTCAAATCAGGCCGGCAACCAGTTATTCTCAGGGCCTGATACAACAGATGCCGTGATGACACCTTAGAGTATCATTTTTTTTCTGTTCAAAAATATATATATATATATATATGTGTGTGTAGATTAATTGTATAAAAAAATTAAATTAATCTAATAATTATAATAATTTATAATTTTATCATTTATGCCTTTGAGCTAATGAACAACCAATATAATTTTAAAAATGGATTAATTCAATTCATTTTTGGCTTCATGGAATTATTAAACCTTGATATTCTATTGGTAGGAATAAAATTTACATACGTACGATATGATACATAATACATGGATTCATAACAAATAAACTGTTGTACACAGCTATTTTTGTGGTTAATTTTCAAAAATGGCAAGTTATATTGATAGTTTTTATATTTTATCTCTTGTATCATTTTGATTCTTATAATTTTAATTTATTCAATTTTGTCCCTTAATTCAATTCAAATGCCGTTAGAGTTTTTGATAGAAAACAATCACCGAATTAGTTGATGTTAACTTAGTAAATTGAGTAAATTTAAAATTTTACTCGTAAAAGCATACCACTCATGAGGGCACCATTTTTTATAAGAATTTTTTTTATTACAACTGTAATTAATTTGGTCAAATTGGGACAAAATTATAAATTCATAATCAAAATTGAACCAATTAAACCATAAAGTCCAAAATGATACAATATATATATATATATATATATATATATGGACTACTAATATAATTTGCATCACTGTATAAAAAATATATATATACTATATATAAAATGAACAACCCACTTGGTGATGTCCTGAAACTCCTCTCCTTTTGTAATTTGCCCATTCTTCATTTTTTTTTTCTTAAAAAAAAAATTAGAAGAAAGAGGGACTCAAACTTCAAATCTTTTGTTTATTAAATATATATATATATATATATATATCACTTAAATGACACAATATATATAATAAATATTTTATTTTATTTTTATATATTTAAATTGTATACAGCAGGTATTGTTCCACACCATGACCGAATCCATCTCCCAATACCCGTTATTTATAACTTTTTCAATGATAAAATTGAATTTTTAAATTGCTTTTTCTTACTATTTTACAGCTCAAAATTATAGCAATCTTTGATTTGAATTGAATAAAAAGAGGAAGTCTACTTTCAATATGACAGCTAACAAAGATCCTCTTTTTTATACTTTGGTAACTTTCCTTGCCTTACAAGTAACATGCAGTTAGTCTTCCACAAAAGATTTTTTTTATCAAATTCCCATATTACTCCTATATAAAGGAAAGGAAACAATTTTTTAGTTACATATCTTCTATTATTCTTAAATCTTAAAAGACGTAGTGTGTGAAAACCGCTAACAATACTTACCTATAAATTTTAGGGTTAAAAGTTAGGGTTTTATTGAGATGGATAACCTGTCGACAACAACGGAATCGTCGATTAGGGTTTCGTGGAGTCCCGAAGAAGATGAGTTGTTACAGAAGCTCGTGCATCGTCATGGAGCCCGGAACTGGTCTATAATAAGTAGATCAGTCCCGGGAAGATCGGCCAAGTCGTGTCGCCTCCGGTGGTGCAATCAGCTGTCACCGGAGGTGGAACACCGACCATTCACGGATGAGGAAGACAAAATCATCGTACGATCGCACCAAAAGTACGGAAACAAGTGGGCTACGATTGCCAGACTACTTAACAGCCGTACTGATAATGCTATCAAGAATCATTGGAATTCGACTCTCAAGAGAAAGTGTTATGATTATCGAGGACGAAGCAGTGAAGAATCGGTGGTTGAAAGGCGAAAACGAGTTAATGCGACGATGAATATTCGATTTAGCGATGAACGTAGATTGAGATCGGATGTAGATCCGAAAGATGTACCGAGTACAGAACTCAGTCTTTCTCAACCTGGGATTTGTTCGAATGAGTTAAGGATTACTCACCAGAATCGGACAAGTACTCACCAGAATCGGACGAGTTATCATGAAATAACCGAGTTTGACTCGTTCCAATTGTTGTTGAAAGAGATGGTGAGAGAGAAAGTGAAAGAGGAAGTGAGAAATTATATGTTACAACTAGAAAAAAAATAGGGAATGTTTTGCAGAGTAAGTAAAGAGTTATGATATCTTGTTTGGTTCATTAGAAAGAGAGTATTTTGAGGTCAATTATATATATATATATATATATATTTTGTGAACATTCACTATTGGGTAAATTACCTTCTCATATTTTGATCCTTTTTATTTTGGTTTTTTATATTTTAATTGACTTGATTTGACTTTAAATTTTATTTTGTTCAATTTAATTCAATTAATTACAATTGTTAACATTTTTTTTATAAAAATACGCACATGAACAATATGTGAACAATATGTGTGGCCAAAGTGAAATAGCCGAGGTAGGCTCTGCTAAGTTAGGCAAGCATGGAGGATGAGTAATACTATATATTCATAATTGAGATCCTTAAAATTATCGACAATGATGTGATAAAGAGAAGTATGTTCTAAACAATTGAGTATATAACAAATTAAAAATTGACATGTATCACGTCATGTAAGCTAATTGTATTAGACCCCCAAGTTTTTCAAATTTATACAATATGTTCTGCAAAATCTTATAAGTTTTTATGGTGTTAGGTACAAATTATTGTAATTATATTACAAATGGGGTGCACCATTATATTTTGAAACATAAAAATATCACAAATTATTTTGAAGCTCCTGTGTTCCAAGACTAGCTGCCCTACTTTGTCAGTTTGTAACTGTTGTGTTCTTTTTGCTATAATGCTCTTTACACTTTTTGCTATAATGCTGTGTGTGGTAAACTCTGCATTAAATCTGACTATAACACTATCATAGAGCCAGCCATTGCCCTCTTCATGAACTTTTAGAGTTATATTTGAGTTCCCATCCATGATAGAGGCATCTCCTTTTAGCACTTCAGCAAAAGTTCTGTGGCCTACGTGTGCACCACTGCCCCTGATATTAGTTGTATCCATGCTCCTTTTAGTATCCTGTGGCTTACGGTTGCTCTGTTCGGGTCTGGTATTCCTGTCGTAGGTAGCCATTTTAACCACGAGCATCGTGTCATCCACAAACAGGCCATTCGCTTTTTGGATGGCAACAGATGCTGAGACACAACAGTCATAACGGACAAACCCAAACCTTGTGTTCGTCGCTTTCCTTCTTTTGAATGGGATGTAAAGCATCCTTCACGATCCCGAACTTGGTAAAGAGTTTGTACAATGCTTTAGCATCCATTACTGTAGGAATGTTGTCAACAAATACAGTGAAAAAACCCTGGCTTCGTTCCTTACTCTGAGCACCACCGCCTCTCCATTGACTCATCACCGGAGTCCAACCACCGGCGTCCAGCCGCCTCTTTACAGCCATTTTGAAAAAGCCAAAACTCGTATTTGTCCTCATAATGCTCTTTACACTTGTCTTTCCTTTTTTGATGTATTTCTTTCATTTGTTTATTGATTTACATCAATAAAATTTCACTTCTTTTGTTGATAAAAAAAAAATATTACAAATTATTATAGTGAGAAAAAATTATTACCTACTGGGATTTTGTAACAAAATTATTGTGATGTATTTTTAAAAGATATATGTAACCAACTTTTAAGAGTGTACCAAAGTTTTTCTCTTCACGTAACTATTTTTTTCTTTCATTCGCAAATATGAAATAACTTCAAAATCTTATCATTCATGTACTAGATGAATTATGTGTTATTATTTTTAATTTTTAATTTTCTAGTGATGAATTATTGAATTTGAAATTCTTGGGACAAATTTAGAGTGTTCCCATTATTTATTTGATTATTTTTAATGGTGATTGGTTGGTTTAAATAAATATTTAATTTATTTAAACTTGACTTGCATCGAGCGCTTGTCCAATGCCTTGATTTTGGCCCCCAATAGTGCGGTCCTGGCTTTGCCCTTGTGTGTCATGCCTTTAAAGATATTAACAATAACAACTACTACTACTACCGTTCTAAAATAATAGTTCTTTTTAAAGAATTTAATTTTTTTAATAGTATAATTATTGCATTTTAAAAATATTAATTTTTCAAAATTATCCTTTGATAGTACATTTTTTTTGAGAATATCAATTGTGTTAATTGTACTTTTTGTGTTGTTAATGAATTTAAAGGAATGACAAAATAAGAAATTCATATTATTTTAATCCTTGATTTTTGAAAAGGGATTAATATTTTGAGATAATGAAAAATAGAATAAGGGACTAATATTTAGGGACAGAGGCAGTATTGTTATTATCGGTTTAGTTATATGCTATCAATATATTTAGGGTTAGGATTAGGAATTTTATAGAGTTTGAACAGGGAAATTTCACTGTGCAATGTGGAAAGTAGTGAAATTTGCACAGTGAAATTCACTTTGTAAAACCCAAGAAACAAATGACAAAAAATTTATAGTTGTCATTTAATTTTGAACATTTTAGTTCTCAAATTCACTAAAATCTGTAAATTTTCGTTTTAGAGCCCTCAATTTGAAAATTTTAACCCTAAATTTGAAAATAAGAACTCAATTTTTGCAATTAACCTTCAATTTTGCAATTGTTAGACATCAATTAAAACTTGAACTCAATTTTTGCAATTAACCTTCAATTTTGCAATTGTTAGACATCAATTAAAACTTTCATTATGTGAAAACTTGTGACAATTAAAGTTCTAATGTAAAATTTCACTTTGATTTCATAATAGATATTGAAATATTTGCAGTTGGTCTTCAATTTCACAATTGTTAGACATTAATTGAAAATTTCATAGTGTTCAACACAATGAAATTTCACTGTCTTAGGTTAATAAAATTTCGTCAATTTTTTTTTTTGTAGAATTTTGTATTCATCAATGATCTTGTTTTACAGATCTAAATGAAATGATTCCAAAAGTATAAATTTTGATCTCAATAAAAAAATTATAAAAATTTGAAATTTTCAAATAAATTAAAAAAGTAATAAGTGTTAGCTGAAGTAGAGTGGTGGGAATATTTTGCCATCGTGCGTTTTGGAGTGCTGCTAATAGCCCCTACTTTTTTACTTTGGATCCTCACATTTTTCAATTTTTTTTTTATTACAATTTTAACATAGCACAAAATTTCAATTTTATCCCCATCATCCCTAACCTCCCAAACCCAACTCTACCCTCACCATTCCAAACCAACAAGCTCCGATGCACTCTTCTCGTCATTCCTCCTACAACCCAACCCCGTCGCCATCATCTCTCTCACCTACAACCACCACTTCTACATCCTTCAAAATCTAACAATCTCTTTCTTCTTTACGTAACCAATCACAATTTATTTCCCTCTCCATCGACCTTTGTGACCACCGCCCTCTTTTGCAATTTACCTAGATCTAATTAGGCAATCTATAACCAAACCACCATTATTTGTTCGGTGATATGTGTTCGAACTATTGACATTTGTTTGGTTGTTCTGTAGTCTATGATCGAACCACCACAATTTCTTTGGTGGTGTACATCCAAACTAACATCGTTTGTTTGGCACTGGTTTTTCGAACTAAGCGTTACAACTTATATCTCTTTCTATCTGTGTGTGGTAGGTCACACAAGAAGAGGAGAAGAGAGAAGAGAGAGAGAGAGAGTTTTACAAAAGAGTTTTACAAATTGAGAGTTTTACACACTTCACATTTACACAATTGAGAGAGAGAGTGAAATTGGTTTTCAAATTGAGAGTTTTACACACTTCACTTTCACAAAATTAATTTTTTTATGCTTCTTTTTTACCTTATATATGCGTAACTGTTTAAATCACATATAGTAGGTTTAACATTATGACTATTGGGACATGCAGAGGAAATGATAACGAACTAAAGAGTTTTACAAGATGGTATAGAGCTTTCCTGCCCTCAAATTTTAGGGAATGATGTGTATAATTTTTGGTTATTTCTTCGTTATAATTATTTTTTTTAATCTGGAGATGCTTGATAATGTTTCTTATAGTACTCATATAGATTATCTTGCCAGTTTGTAATGTCATGTAAGATGAGTGATTTTGGAATTGGTGTTTTGTTTGG